CCTTTTTCAAAATGTATGTAATTATATTGGGAAAAAAAAAATCTTGCACCAGAGATATGTAGGGTTTCCTTCCCAGTAGCTGTGGTCCCAAAGGGTTTCCTTTCCTTGTACTGATCATACTGATCTATTTCCCTTGTTGCAAAGGCCTTCAGCCCCCACCTTTTTCTGTCGTGTGTCAGACAAACCTTTTTAGTATTTCAGTTGTGTTCTTTAGAATTTCCATCACTCTGTTTTGCACACTATTGATTACTGCCTTATTTTTTACTCGCTCAGTTGAATTGATATTAACAGAAAGTTCTTCCAATTCATAGTTTAAAAAAAAAGTCACGATGATAGAGGGAAACTAGCCTGTTAAAGATGGTTTGGAAAGATTCAGCCCATCTGTTTTACTGAACCACTTCAATTACAAGCATTTTTCTCTCTGTCCTTTACTTTGCTTGGGCCCCTTTCCTCTCTTAAAATTTCCATATAGGGTTTTAGTAACTTAATAGGGGACTGCAGAGTCATCTACTGTAGTATCAGCTTCAAGTGCTGAGTATATAAGGTATCTCTGTTCATCTCCTCTGTCCTTTTTTTTTTTTTTCTGTGCTGGTCTTCTGCATCTCTTTTGCCTTTTCAAATACGTAATTTCTTTTAGCACGTAGGCGTTTCTTGTTTCTCTATTATCCTTTGTCCCTGAAGACCTCGTGTACCCTGGCGTTACTGATTTCTGTTTGCTCTGCGTTCATTACCTTGTGACTAGGGTAGCTTAATTGACGCTAATTCTGAGCACTAACCCATTCTTTCTCATCGTCTTTGCCTCAAAAGTTGCCTGAAAACACTTCCTCAATTCAAAGGAATTTCCTTCATAGTAGTTTTTTCTGATATTGTGGATTTGTTTTTCTTGGTTTTATTTTGCTGTTTTGTAATGCAGAGATTGCAGCTGCTTCTTATTTCTTTCATTCAGGTTAAGGTGCATTTTGAGCAGCTGAATCTCAGCAGTGCCTCTGTGGCTGCTGTGTTTGTTTGGACCGTGCTTACTCCATATCGCTCTATTTTTATGTTCTTGTGGGGTAATAGGGTTTTTGCAAGAACTGCATCAGGCCTCAGGCATGGGTCAGTGATCTTTTTGTCACTTTGAATGATGCCCAGTGAAAGCTTCCACACTGCTCTCTCCATTCCTTGGAAGCTGCCCTCTGGTATTAGATCTACCCTGCCCAGGCAATAAGGAGTGTCTGGTATTTTGGCAGGGATGCTCTGGAGACAGTTGTCCAATCTGTCTCTGTTGCACTGTCCCTCTCGGAGGACAGCGGTGTATGAGTTAGAAACGTGGTGTCAGGTTTGTACCGGGGTGACTCGCTTGTAGTTTGTCGTGATGAGCACTGGTGTCTCACGATGCTTGGCCTTGCTGCACTCAGAGCTGGTCAAGATGTTTGCTCGTTTTCACTAAAATGTTTACCATAAGTCAGCCTGTTCTTGCTGAACCAAACATTTCAAGTCCAAAGCCCTCATGACTCATGGTGTCTGGTGGCTTGGTTTGAAATAATGATCTCATGTCCCAGCCTCAACCTTTAAGAGTTTTCTCCGTGCCAGGATCACGGTTGCTGTGACTCAGGAACACGCTGTGTTGCTAGACGCCTCGTGCCGTGTACGTGTGGCTGCGTTTTCTGCCAGAGAGCTGCTGCTACAAAATAGCTTTTCTGCAGTCAGTGAATTTTATGCAGATAGGTGATTAAATTGTACTTGAAGAATGTCCCTATTTTGTGGGGTCTGAGAGGTGGCAAGGACAGTAACTGGTGAAGCAAGTGAGGCTGCAAGAGAAAGATTTGAGTATTGTTCAAAGTGCTTTAGTCTTTTTATAACAAAATTTAAGAGGTGACTTAGTTGCAAATTATCTTCCTGGTGATAGCGACTGGAAATTGAATGCAAACTAAAAATAAACTAAAGATTTTCAGCACAGGAGGTTGTTCACGACAGGAAAACAAAAAAGTTAACAAGAGTCAATGAGCACATACAGTGGCTTATCTATGTCTGGAAGTCACCTGAAGAAGACTGGAAACTGCAGCAAGCAAGCAAAGTTCCCGATTCCAGAAGAATGTGAAACGGTTTATTCAGCAGATCCTCTCGTATGTTACTCAGATACTCAGATCATGTAACAGTGGCTCCTTCTCATTTTGGAAATGAATAAATGGGGGCAGGGGAGAGGGTTAGATTTAGTGTTGTTAGTGGTGCGTATTAATTTTTTGTGACTCCGGTAGTCTTTTGGCTGAGGCATTACTATTTTCTGACTTTAGTGCCCTGTGACACTGCTGTGCACTGTGCTACCACAATACTTTATCTCAACGTTGCTTACAAAAATGAAACTTCTTGTGGCTATGGACTGGTCATCCACTAACTAGTGCTTTTTTTCCTGTGTTTCAAGTCAAAACCTGCTTTCTATGTAGAATTTTGACAAATAAGTCATACTTGCTTTTAATTTAATTTAAGTGGTATATTTTTAACTAATAGTGATTTTGCAAATTTGGGGGTAGAGTAGGAATAATTATGAATAACATCAAATTATACATTGAGACTCCATCATGAAAATTTGTATGAGCTTTATTTCATTTCTGAGATGTGGCTTATACATCATTTTGCTGAAAACACGAGTATGTTGCTGTTTCATTTGTCAAGTATTGACACAGGCAGCTCTTCTTTCCTTTTAGGAATCTGGGTAAAAATGGCTTATCTAACAGTAGTATTCTACTGGATAAATGTCCACCTCCACGACCACCACCACCACCATACCCTCCCTTGCCAAAGGACAAGCTGAATCCACCTACACCTAGTATTTATGTAAGTAAATCTGATGGCAGAAGCAGTACATCACGGGCTGTCTTTTTCTAGTTGTGTGGTTATGTGAGTTGCTTTATATGAGTATTTTAAAGAAATGAACTGCACAGCTGAAATCTAGTTACAGTGCTCTCCCAACTGGTACATAAGCAGAAAAAATAATAACCTTAGAGAGAATTTTGTTACGTAGTTTGTCTTTTGCAAAATGTTTTAAATTTAGAATTTCAGCTCATCAATAAAAAAGAGGAGAAACGGCTTCAAAATTTGGGGTTTTATTTTTAACACCTAAGGTATTGATTAAAAAGAAAACTGATTTGTTAGGGATAATGCACAAATACATTTGTATATATTTTGCAAATGACTAGTTTGGTGATAAGTGAGTAAATAATTAAACTGATCTTTTTTCATAACAATCTACTTTGAAAATGCGGTAAAGAAAATAATAAAAGTTGAGAGGATAGTAACAACAAAATGTAATAATTAAGAAGAGACAAGTTTTAATTCCATATTTTCTTTCTTATACAACTATATAGAAATCTGTAGTGAAAAAAAAAAAGCTCTGTAATAGGTTTGCAGAGAATTTGAGCTAGATCCCATGGTAATATAGAAGAAGAAATTATAGTTTGTCTCTACGACTAGTGTAAAAGCCTCAGCCTGGCTTTTTCCGGCCTAACATTGGGATCAGAAGTGCTTGGCACTTTAATGTAGTAACACACTGGCTGGCTGCCAGAGAACAAGATTAGGTTGTAAACAATAATATATGGGATTTTTTAAGTGATAAATCTGCATTAATTCACTCTTTTTAGAGTCCATCATAGCTATTCTGAGTGTGTACAAAACTAATAAATAGCCATGCTGCACTCTTCAGCGTAGATGTGTCCCTGTGGGTCCTGATACTTGGGGAGCTCGACTCTGCTCCGTCAATTCAAAGAGATGTCTCCAGTATCTCCATAGTCTCTGCCTACAGTGCCCTTGATATTTTCTTTGAAGTCTGCCACACACCCTTGCAATATTAGAAAAGGCAAGGGGGGCAGATTGTAGCATAAAATGGATGTCATCGATGCACAAAAGCGTAGAAAAATGAAATCAGCTTTCTTGGTTAGCTTGAGATATGTATGTGAGTAGACTTTCTAATTGTGCTGTTCCTTGTATCCGTTTTCTGTAGAATTACCTTTTAGATTTTAGAAAAGAATGTTAGCTTATTGTCAGGCTGTTAGAAATCTCTATTATACAGGTAAAGCTACTGTCAGATAAAGAAATAAACTGCAGGAAAAGTGAGTTACAAAAGTTAAAGCAACCTGGGAATAACTCAAGTCAGGAAATAAGTTACTGTAACAAATAAATTTTGGAAGGACTGTACCCAGCATATAGCAGGGAAATGTATGATGTAGTTTTTCATTCACCAGCATGAAGGGAAACAAATAAAATACTTGACTTCCTTCAGTAGTTTATCGTTTCTTATTGTTCTTTCATATTTTACAAATAAGGAATCTAAATTCATCTGAGATCTAATATTACGTTGTATTTTTGCAGTTGGAAAACAAACGAGATGCTTTCTTTCCACCTTTACATCAATTTTGTACAAATCCAAACAACCCTGTTACTGTAATACGTGGCCTTGCTGGAGCGCTTAAATTAGGTAAGTATATGTTATGTGGTGTCTTTCTTTGAAAAATGTGTATATTTACAAAAAGATCTCAAGTCTTATAAGTAGATATTTCGTTTCTGTAATACTGTATTACATTCTCTATTCAGATTTAATAAATGGTTATCTGATTGTGTCTCTGTAGTCTCTGTATAACTATCTGTAGAAAAATTATCATCGTTAGTAGTAGATGTATTATATAATGAAAGTACATTCTCAGAGTTCTAGTTTGTCTTAAAAAAATATTTTCCTGGTAATAGATTTAGCTGTATTTACAGATCTGTTTGCAGAAATCGGATTTTTTTTTCTTGGAAATATAATCCATATAGTAGCTTCCAAGTTTTCTTGAGGTTTCTACAGTTGCATGCAGAAGATCTTCAGCACATGAGTTGTAATTTTTAAACTATAATTGAGTGGAGTTATGATGGCTGAGAAACATCTGTATATGCTTTAATTTTAGCCTTTGTCTTTTTGAAGCTTTTAATTGTATTTTAATTGTCATATTTTACTTTTATTCATATTCATTAGATCTAGGACTCTTCTCTACCAAAACATTGGTAGAAGCAAATAATGAACACATAGTAGAAGTAAGGACGCAACTACTGCAGCCAGCAGATGAAAACTGGGACCCCACTGGAACAAAGAAAATCTGGCGTTGTGAAAGCAGTAGATCTCATACAACAATTGCTAAATATGCACAATACCAGGCCTCCTCGTTCCAGGAATCTTTAAGGGTAAATCCATTGTTACTATGTAAGGTATCATTTACAAACTCTACAGTAATTCTGGCACAAGGTTCTTTTAGTAATGGCTATTGACAAAAATGTAGAAGTTGCTAAAGAAAAGAAGTTCCCATTGGCATTTAAAAATCACTTCTGAATAAAGAGTCAACTAATATCCAGGGTATTCCTCCCAAATACTTAGTCGTCTTAATGTAAAACTCCTGGTTATTATATACTTCAAAAGCTTATTAGCTTAGGCTTTCATATAATGATATACAGATTCACATTAAAATTTTTAGAACTTTAGGCTCTTTTTTTACAGGGTAAAACTTCTGGTTTCCCATATGCTTTGAAATCAGAATTCTTTGTTCTTTATGCTATACTGAAAGAATTTGAATGTTGCTTATTAAAAGCTTACACTCATACTTGTCTTTCGGCACAACAGCTTAAAATTTTAAAAATATCAAGTGTGACTGATGCTTTCCATATTTGTTACTGCTGGGCTCCAAACATAACATTTTCTGTTTAGTTAAGAAGATGTTAGACATATGTGACAGAGTGAAATGTTTAAAATGTTACTTTATTGGTATGAATTATTAATGTTTATGCTAAAGCAGTAAGTATGTCCTTGACATTAGCTATGGGCAGCCCTCAAAGGCTTGTGTCATCCTAATGTTGTGGGAAAATGAAGCAAAGGTGGATCAAGGAGGAAAAGATAATACTGACTAATTGCCGATTAGAAAAAGAGGAGAACGACAGGTAGGAAACTGAGTGGTGCATTTCTCACTGCACAGAAACAGCACGGGCTTCAGCAAGAAAAAAAAAGGACAAGTTGCAAATGAGATCTTTGTAACTTTAGAGAAATGGCTTAGAAACAAAAAGTTGCATCTATAGGAGAGGAAAGAGAAGGGATAATGGCTAAAGATTCTCAGTGAGATTCATACAGGGTGAGGAGAAGAGACAGCCTTGGGAAGGAGGGAATACTGAAGTTACCAAGAGTGGGTGGACTGGCCTAGTTTGGGGCATAAGTGATGTTTTTCTTCCTCTGCAGTGGTTATAAGGTAAGAAGGATATCTAACGCAGGTTGCTGCTGCTAGTTGAACAATCATGCCAGCATTGTGTTCTTGTGCATGTCCTGCTGGAAAGCTTCTGATCTATAGTGTCACGTGGATTGCACGTTCAATAAAGCGTGTGACTGATCCCACAGCAGCTTGTCTGCAGGAAAGCCTCTACTTTGGTCTTGCACCAAAAAGGGAACTGCAGGGTTTTCTAAACTTCTCACAGTCAGTGGTAAAAACGATTTTCGTAGTGACAATTTTCACTTTTCTCATGGTAATCAAGTGCCATTCTTAAATGACATACTTGCTTTTGCCTAACACTGCATTGACCTGTTTCATCCCTAATTTTATTGCCTCACCCTGTTCATATGAAAGTCATGTTTCTTCCTTTTACAGACACAAACCTTTTGGCCTGCCTTGGGCCATCTTTGTTTTTTTCCCTCTAGTAAATATTATATCATTTTTCTGAAGTATCTGACAAAATATATGTATTTTTTAAACTTTCTTAGGTACAAGGACACAAGAATTAACAATAGCCCTATTCAAAGTAGGCAGTTCTTTCCTCCTTTTTGTCTTGCTCTTTTTCTTTCTATGTCCATTCTCTTGACAAAAAGAGGTTTTAGAACAGGGTTTTGAGCCTACTCAAAAACACCATATTATGTCACATTTCATATTGGTTAGGTTTTTTCTGCTAGTCATGGCAAAGAGGATTTTATAAGTATTAGCCATCTCAGTTTCGTATCAAGAGACTGGCTTGACTTTGAGGGAAGATAAATGTTCTGGACCAACAAAGCTAGCACTATTCTTTAAGATTAGTTTCCTGTTCATCTGCATGGCAAAGCAAAACAACCTATTGCTTTCAGCTGGAATGCAGGAAAGCAGAAACATGTGCAGTGCAGAAGTTTTCTCTTGTCCTGGGCAGGGCTTCATTGAATTTGTAGTCATGAAGAGTTTTTTGCAATGTCAAAAAGACTGAATTTGACTGCAGTGTTTTTTGACTGAAAATGCTATTGTCTTAATATCCACATAAAATACTAGATACAGAGATTTTAAAGGTTTTACTAGCATCTTGAAACAAACAACCTGATGTAAGTGAAACTCCTATCACTATATACTTATGTGGTGATACTTGTGTAACATAATGATAAAATGTTCACATCTCTCTGTTTATAGGAGGAAAATGAGAAAAAGAGTCACCACAAGGACCACTCAGATAATGAATCCACATCTTCAGATAAGTAAGTGTGATATAAATCTGCTAATTCTACAGTTTTCCATGTTCTTTTTTACGTAATTCCCATTTTCACATTCACCTATTATAATTTTTATTTTTACAGCTCTGGGAGGAGGAGAAGAGGACCTTTTAAAACAATCAAGTTTGGGACCAACATTGACCTGTCAGATGACAAAAAGTAAATCTGATTGCTGTTTCTCGCTTTCACAGTGGTATTTTACAACCGAAACCATCATGTTGCTTTGAAAAGAAACTTTCCCCCTCACTTTTTTTTTTCTTCCTCCATTTTCCACTTACTTTTCATGAACCTATATATCCAAATCATTTCTGAAATAAGCTTTGATGTGACTCTGGTATCTGATCAATACTTTTAGTCTAGTTTACTTTGTCACTGACTGCGTAATGTCAATGACTATATGATACAGTTATGTAGAAGAATGTGTGCATCTTTGAGAAATTGAAATTCCTGTCTCTCAAGAAGGCTGAAGACAGTGCTGCCAGTGGTAAATTCTCTGAAGCTGGTAAGCACAAGTTACAAAATTTGTTATTAATTAAAAACACAAACATTCATTTTGTATTGTATTTTTTTAAATGAATGGATTGTGTTTTTCTTAGCAGCAGCATGAAAGTAAGTCAAGATTTTTATCATAAAGCCTCAAAATGACTTAATATGTTTTCATGAGTTGTGAGTTGTGATCACTGATAATAGAACTCCTGGAGACAAGGAAGTTCTTTAGCATAACATTACTCCTGCCTGATTATTCCAAAGTACGTGTTGGTGTTTGCTTAAATGCCTTGAGTACAGGGCTGATAATTCATCTTTGTTCTCTCTTATCCCAATCAAATGGAACTGTTGGTGCCTTTCAACAAAAGACTTGTTTATCTTTGCACATTTAGCTGTTAACCCATTACTGAAATGGTTTGATGACTTCTGTTACAAAATTCTGATTTTGGTTAATTGTTCATTTGAGAAACTTTAATATAATATCTTCTATGGTGGATGCTTGACCCAAGTTAAGGGAAAGCTTGCTGTTTTTTTGTACATGATAACCTTTTAAGTCATTCTTTTGAAGAAAAGCTAATGCATTAACTTGGGTGCTCCAGGTCTTGAAATTTTGTCATAATGTGTGCCTTTGGCCTCAAATAACCAAGAAATAAGCCTTTAAAAACACTTTCCAAATTCTGTGGAGATCTGGTAAAGTTAACAGCTAAAAGCTGAGAATGTTTAATGCTTGCTGAAAACTTTACAGTTCTCATGACTCCTACTCTTGGTAAGTGTGTGTGTGCTGTCTCCCAGCAGTAGCGCACGCTCCCTGTCCTCATGAGTTGCTTGAATGAATTGTCTATAGAGTGACTGAACATTTTCCAATCCAAGGTAATGGATCTTCAGAAAACAGATTTTCTTAGGTGTTGTTTTTAGGGCTACTTTAAGCTACTGTAGGGGCACTGAATGAGAGAATTGAATACTGAATGAACACTTTCTCCTGTTCTGTCAATAAAGCCTTTGTTGAGATCTGCATAGTGCGGAAAACACCATTCAGTATAAATGCAGGGCAGATAAGAATCAGAACACAGAGGATTGTACTAGGCCATGTCTAATGAGACTGCACTAGAGTGGGGAAAAACAGGCTGTTTAGGGCTTGGATGGAGAAAATGGGCTTAGTTGGAAAGGCAGAAGTCTGCGGTCCACAGTCAGGGTAGGAATAAGAGGGTAGGACTTGGGGAACTGTATGAGCAGCGAGGCTAAATGCGTGAGGAGGATGGTATATGAGATATATGTTTCTTGCAGAACAAATCCCACAAGAACGCAGAGTTGTCTTAACTGCTGCAGTCATACGCAATGCCCCAGGCAGAGAAAAATTAGCAGAATCTACATTACGTTATTTTGCAAAACTTGTCTTTCATTTTTTTCTTATCACAAAGGGGCCTTGAACTGCATTTTTACAGAAGGAAGAGGAAGCCCTTATGTACAGTTCTGAGCTTTGTCTGGACCCATGGAGAGCTTTCCATACGTGGTCTTGCAGCTTTCATTTAAAATGCTGAGAGTTTATCAGTATTGGCTGTTTTTTACGGGTGGTCTGATTTTATTAATTTTTACCTATTCATGAAAGTTTTTCAATACTGAGTAGACAAGTGTAGAAAGTTACTGTCAAGGGCTAGATGTGTGTGGTGCTTCTTGATGCTAAGGTAAAAGCAGGAGGATCCTAGAAAGTGTCATGGCTAAGGATAGTGAATTTAACCGTTAAATATGAAGAGGGCTAGGAGACCAAGAGCTCACTAACCTGTCTCAGTTCATAAACAAGTGAGCTCAAGCTCAATTCATGAATTTAATCCGGATTTGAGACACACTCTGAAAAAGAAGGAACACTGCATCTATCAGATCCTATCTGATTATTGCAAATCAAACTATTTTGTTTTTAAGCAATTCTAAGGTAAAATAATTTTCTGTTTTTTTTCTGTCTTTCAACTGTTCATACTTTTAAGACTCTGAGTTGCTGTTTGCAGTACGATACTCTTTCCAGAAAATGAATGCATGCTTCTCAGTAGTTAATGATAACCTGCTTCTGAAGCATTTCAGAAAAATGTTTCAAAGTATTCTAAATAATTTTGAGAGCACGTTTTGGACACTATTTTTTTTTTGTTTCAAATCAAACTCTAGCTAGAATTAAGTTCCATAATATATCCAGTAGTATGTCTGGTTATTTGAGTGACTTTACAGAGCTCCAGACTTGAAAGTTCAGGGAATTTTGTGTTCAGAGATCTGCATTTTCATTAGCATGCGTATTCAGTTCTTGACCTGTGTGTGTGTAAGTTAAATGTTACATCGTTTGGCCCTGGAAAGCACCGTTAACACAGTTTCTGAGGAGCTTAGAGGGCAAACTGGTGTTTCCTTGTGGAAGGAGCATTCCGAGGGTTATTGTAAGCCTGCTTCTCTGGTAATGTAACGCCAGTTACATTTACTGTCCAATTCAGTGAAATGGATGCTTGAATTTCTGTCAAGTAAGGCTAATGTATTCTGTGAACTTCCCTTACGTGATGCAAAATTATATAGCAACTGTTTGTCTACTTCTTTATCTCATGTGTTAACAATCTTTTTATCTGCTGCTTCCATTTCTCCAGCCTCTCCTAGGAATTTTCAGGATTCACAGTTTATCGATTTGTTATTTTGCTGCAGGTGGAAGTTGCAACTCCATGAACTGACAAAACTCCCTGCTTTTGTACGTGTGGTATCAGCACGAAACCTTCTAAGCCATGTTGGTCATACCATCCTGGGAATGAACACAGTGCAGTTGTACATGAAGGTCCCAGGAAGCAGGACGCCAGGTGAGTCTCTCTTTCTGTGGAGTTTTCTACAGTTGTGGTTTCGGTCTAACTGCTCTGTGGTTTGTACATCTTTCATGGCATACAGAAGCGTGAGGCATATTCAGTGTTTTATAATTTCCTCTTCAACTGAGTTTTGCATGTGCAAAGTACTAGCTGGTGCCATCATGGAAACTGATGGATTTCTGCAATGCATTATATTTACCATAATATTTTCTTATTAAGAAAAGGGAAAAAAAAATGGCGGGATGGTATACTTGGACCTTATTTGTATTGCGTGCCTTGAAAGTTTTTACAGGCTTCTGCATAGATCTTGGGTAGTTACAGAAATAAGTATACATTTACTTTCTAGATTCTTTATTGTGTGAGGATAAAATTTAACCCTCCCTAATGAATGGTGCTATGTTAGGGCATTGGCCTAGGACTTGGAAGATCTGGGCTAAATTCCAGGTCCTGTTTGTAGTGAAGTATGGCTTTGGACAATCCCATTGGGGTTTATGGTTCAGTTTTCTAGCTGTCAAAAGAAGATAAAGTTCCGGCCTTTTTGCATTGATTTTGGAAACTCTTTAGGACAGATTTTCTTACCAGTTGTCTATTCAATGCCTGAAGTCATGAAGTTTTGCTCTTGTACTGGGACTATCAAGAAAAAAGGGATCTAAGCTTGAACTTCCCAATGCATTTATTTCTACTAGAAGGGAGTTGCTGAATTATTGGTCAGATTAGTGTTTTTAGCTTTTCATTTTCCACAAACTAACAAAAACAGAATTCCCAGTAGCTTAGTTGAATTTCCTAACACTATGAAGTCTGTATAAATAGTGTTTGTAGGTGACATATACAAATATGTGCATATTTAAACTGCAGTGTACTTTTTTAATAATTGTAGCTTACTTTGCATTTTCATAGAATTATTTTGATAAAATCAACCTGACAAAAAGTATGTTTCTTTTTGTGTAAATTTCAGGTCATCAAGAAAATAACAACTTTTGCTCAGTAAATATAAATATTGGTCCAGGTGACTGTGAATGGTTTGTTGTTCCTGAAAGCTACTGGGGTGTCATGAATGACTTCTGTGAAAAGTAAGCAGCACGTGCTACTCTTTCCTACTTCTAGAAGGTTTTTGTTTGAGTGTTCTGTGGCTTTCTCAGGCCTCAGGGGGAAAGTGCTCACCGAGAGTGCTGTGGAGGAGGACATTATTTTATGTTTTCCCATGTCATTAGTAATCTAGGATTTACACAGAATTACAATACAGAATTTGTGCAGTGCGCCAATTCTTGAATTGCCTTAGATGCTCTGTGATAGCTTTGCTCTCAAATATTAACAGTAGGTATATTATTTGTTTTTTTGAGAATACAGGAATGAATGTAATATGAGAAGCAAGGAATTGATAGAAAGTGTTCATCTGGGTTCAAGATTCAAATTTGTGCTTTACTGTGGCCAGGGGGATCAAAAGTTAGTACTAGCGTAGGCTGTCTGCTACCTGTGTGCATTATATGGCACCAGTCCAGTTTTTCTGCTAGGAACATTTCCACTTTAGAAAATACATCATAGTCCTTGCTGTTTATTTAGGTGTTTTATCATGCATATGAAAGCTGACCATTTAGTTGTACCAGATGGTGATCCTTCTGTAATGATTTTAAGGCTGTTGCAGTAAAGAGTAATGGAGCAAAGTTTGGGGGAGGGAGGGTCAAGGGGGTAGGAGCAAAGTATTTTCCTGGTGATCGACATTGTTGATTTTTATTATGATTAATGTTCATGTTGTTCACGAGTCATTGGTGTCTATCATAGTGTACCTGGTGACTGCCTTAGGTGAGGTGCACTGACCATTAGTATGGGGCCAGTGCCAGCTCCAGGTTCACTTGTCTCAACTTTCCTTCAGAAGTTTTCCAGAGCGTTGCAAATTCTTCTCGGTCTCTCTCTGTTTTGTGCCTACCAACAAATGCTTTTGTTTCATCCGCCTTTTCAAAGGTTACCTGCTCTTGAAATGTCTAATTCTGTTTGTAATGTCTCTGATGGTGACAGGCGTTTTACCCCCTCTGTGGCACTGTCGTTCTGAGGCTAATAGAGAAACTAAGGGCTTGCTGCCCTCATGAACTGTCTGGTGTGTCTGGGGGAGGCACTGAATGGTCTAAAGCATAGGATAAGGAAGGGAAGGAATTACGTATTTTACATAACCATAACAGAAGGCTCAAGAGCTTATGATATATGGATATGGAGGTATACGGAGGCCTTTGTGGACATTTCTCAGGAGGGGCCGGACACAGCATAAACATGTGCTTGTCAGTGAAGCTAATACCAACAGGTCACTTGTTGTGTGGATGAGCTTCGTACGCTGTGTCAGCTGGCAGCGTGGTTGCATATTGAACACTGCTCAGAACAGAAAGCATCTCTGAGAGCTGTATGCTACACCGTTACACAATAAGTCACTCTGGTTAGGAAGGAAGCAGTCGGCATCAATGTCACACTAGGTTTCAGAAAAAATGTCACTACCTCAGTATTAATATTGCTGGAGAATTCAAAAGAAAATGGAGCATAACTGAAAGTCATAAACTCGCTTCACCCGGGCAGCCAGATGGGTAAACGTTTTAGTATCTTGGAGAATGTAATACATGGGATTAGGATCAGGAATTTTAGAGATGAAACCCTCCCTTTGACCAGGCCTCCAGGGTCACTGATTAGATGCAGAAAACATTTCTGTGATGGTGATCAGGTACTTTCACTGAAGTACTGACCACTAATACATCTACTGATAAATGCTGAAGACTTTATTTTTCCTGTTATTTCAGGAATAATATGAATTTCTTAATGGGATCTTGGTGGCCAAACCTGGAAGATTTGTACGAAGCCAACGTCCCAGTGTACAGGTTTATTCAAAGACCAGGGGATTTGGTGTGGATTAATGCTGGCACCGTTCACTGGGTTCAAGCTATCGGCTGGTGCAATAACATCGCTTGGAACGTCGGCCCTCTTACAGGTATGGTCGAATCGTGTATATGTTGAAGTAAATTTTATTATTCCCTTTATGGCACAGAACCTGCTCTTGCTTTTCGATCTGCCATATTTTACTAGATCAAAAATGAATGAGCAGTGTTTTAAAATACTCCACATGTGTTGAAACTCTAAATAAATGAGTAGGTAAGAAGCGAAAGCAACAAGAATGTGGTTTTTTGCATGATTCTGTTTAATAGATTTTTTAAATTAACCATTTTGTAACAAATAATGTCAGAATAAAACATGATAAATGAGTTGATGCACACTGTCTGGTAGGCCATTTCTGTAACTTTCTCTCCCAAAACTTTCTTTTATCCAGCATACTAGGCTATAGGTTGCATATATGTTGAGGACTGAAACCTCTAATTAAAGTCTTAATTTTTCAGGACAACCAATACCTAATCACTGTTGAATAAAAATATCAGGAAATACAAACCATTGTAAGATTATTTTTGTTCAGAAAGGAGTGTTAGCTGAAATCCCATTCATAAGGTGGAGTTAGAGCTTTTTTTGGACCTACTGCTCTAGAAGTCTTTAGTTTTTAAGCATTCTGGCAGTCAAAAAAGGAGTATTTCAAAAAAATGTTTTCTTAAATAGTTTAAGGCATATTTTTATTGTGTTATGATGCAATATGGTGTATATCATGACAATTACATGATTAACTTACGCAGAGCTAACACATTCAGACACAGTAAGTTTTGTAAAACATTAAAAAGAGTTGGAGGACAGACTCTCATTGCTTAATGAAAAAATGTGCTTCATCGTAAGAGACCTCTCAAGGTGTGATCTTCCTTTTGGAGATATATTAAATACCATAGCACTGTAAAATTATGATAATGAATAGATGGAGGTGCAAATGTAGAGTTTTCTTATTTGAAATTTTTGAAATTTAAATAACCATCTTCTTTAAGTGGTGTTCTCTGTTCACTTAAAAATTTAGCACTTGTCAGTGGCTTCTTGCTTTTACAGACAGTAGTTGCTCTTACTGTTTTATTACTGTGTTACTACTTCGTGTTCTTAAAGCATCTTAAATACATCTTAATAGAAATTTCATAGAACTTAAATGCAGGTAAAATGACTGGGTCATATCGAATGCAGCTTACGCGAGTGCTACGAAGTATAGATTATGAGGATAGTCAAATTACTTTGGGAATAGTTGCTACTTGCTTCTTAACAGAAGGCTTCTGTGATTTTGTTTTTGTGCAGCTTGTCAATACAAACTGGCAGTCGAACGGTACGAGTGGAATAAACTGCAGAGTGTGAAGTCCATAGTACCCATGGTTCATCTTTCGTGGAACATGGCTCGAAATATCAAGGTCTCAGATCCAAAGCTTTTTGAAATGATCAAGTAAGTTTTACTTGAATGTTTAGCCATTTCTCTCCTAGCTCTACGTTGTTACTTCAGCACTGTAGATCAAACATAGAGCAAAACTTAATTTGTAAGTAACCCTTTATAAGACTCTTCCATCTCTGAGGAAAGGTGAACTTTGAAGCCAAAAGGATTTGATATTCTGTTTGTTAAAAAATCCATGTATAGATAACATTAATTTTATTGTAGCATTTGATGTTATTGTGGCATAGCTTTAGAGTTACCTAATTCACAACACTTTTAATTTACAGAGTAATTTACAGAAATAAATACTTTAATTTACAGAAACTTTAATTTACAGAAACACTTGACTGTAGATGAAAGAATCCTTCAAGAATACATATTCAACTTAAAAAAAATCAAAAAGTCTTCAAACCAAATGTTAAGTTCAGAATGAGGAGCTGTAGTTATTTTTACAGCAAAATTAAATGTAGTTTTAGACTTCCAGAACCTCTGTTTAGTTAAGATTTAAACACTATCATTTGGAGAATCCAATGTAAATGCCTTAAAGATAAGGAGAAACTGGAAAGCCTCCATCCCCTTGCTTTTCCTCTGAGCAGTGGATTAATTGATGTGTGATACGATAATCAAGTTTAGTGATATTTCTCATAAAAAGGAAGAGAGAAACTGAGTTACACTGTTAGAAAGGAGGAGTAGTAAGGATTGGGTAACCATAAGCTGTTGTTTTTACACTTCTTTTTCAGGTTGTCTTTATACATCTTCCCAGACTCAGAAGGCCTGGAATGTAGAGTTTCAAACAGCTCTAGAGTGTCTTTTGTCAAAATACAATTTTAATAATCGGGCACTTGCATTTTGCATTTGCACAAGTGTTTTTGTTGTGATTTAGGCTTAAAAGGGTAAAAACTTAACTGAATATAACATCCTTCTCCAAGAAAAACTATTAAAATGTTTTAATAGAACAACCACAGAGCGCAAAGCAGTTGTTTCCTATTGTCTGGCTGGCTGATAGCAGCTGAGCTTTTAGTGAGATACCTACATTGTAGATGTACATTACAAGTGAGCAAAGTCAGTAAGGAACAGATAGAACCTGTTCTTTTTTAGCAGTTCCTTTTACCAGTCTGCTGAAACTACTTCTGGTTTCCCTGTGTTAAGACAGGAGAACAGTTAGACGATTTTCCTCTGAAACTGCTTGTCTGAAGGAAGAGAAAACCAAGCAGCAAGGAGATATTGTTCATTTCTCCTATGATTTATAAAATACAGTCATTTGTATGTATATATGTGTGTACATACCTACATATGTATGTGTAAGCACTTGAGAAAGTAGGTTCCGATGCAGCTGATGGAATTTCAGCTTGAATAGCTGAATTTCATTTGTCATCGGGGGAAAAAAGTATCAGTGACACAGCTGTCATCTTCATGCCAAAAGGCAGGTCGGTATCTAAAATTACATGTCAAAGGTATCTGAAGTGTTTAGAGAGTTTGACTTCTGTCTCTGAGGGTTTTAATATAGCACAAAAGATTAACTCCTGGAAAACTAGAAAGCAATTTGTAATTCCAATTTGAAAGATAAATATAAATATGTCACACCGTCTTATGTGATAGTCAGCACTACAGAGGAAGTAGACTAACATGTAAATTATAACACGAATGCCTGTGGACACTAAGAAGTAGGTTAATGATAAAATAGATTAGGAACAGGAAAGAAGTAATAAAAGTAAACTTTACTGAAGAAATCTGAAGCATCTTTGTATTTTTTTAAAGTGCAACCTAGTACTTATTATCTTGTTAGAGAAAAGATAAAAGAGCAAAAACTGAAACTTTTTTCATGAGATGTGTTTTGAAGATCTGATATGAACACAAAAATCATGAATGGGACTACAGACAGCCAAAATTTATTAAAACTTGGCTGAAGGAGCACAGTTTTCCAGAAGAGAAAAATAAACAGCAAAATGCTTAAATGGAAGCTAGGACTTTTACAAATGCATCTGAAGAAAAGCAGAAATGTCAAGAGTGTGAGGTTTTCATATAGTTTTAAAAGTGGGTTCTAAAAATAGTTTTATAAATGTGAAAGGACAGGATATGTGAGAAATGATTATACATGAAATCATGAAGCCAGATAGTATGTATTTCAATGCCTTTAGGGAAAATAAACTAATGATAGGCATAAGGAGGTCTGTTTTTCATTGTCAGTGGAACAGTCTCCACACTTTTTATCCAATCTCTTTGGATGCCTAAATAATCAAACAGGCTTGTCACTTCACTTTCTTTTAGAAGAAATCAGGATGATGTCCAATTTAAAAGACTCTACCTCTAACTTACTCATGCACTTTGTCATAACTTTTTAAAAAGCTAACATGAGAGAGGTGCTGGAGTTTTGTTTTTGTTTTTTTTAAAAAAAACTGAATTTCCACTCTGCAGGAGTTAAATCAGACTTAGTGTTTAAAGCCTATACCACTCAAATTATAATGTGAATCTCCATACACCTTTTTAGCTTCCTTTAGGCTTTCCCTACTTTAGGAAATTGTGGCATGCGTCTTCAAAATGGTATTTCACATGCTTTTTCCAGTTCTTTGACAGCATGAAATAGTTAATGTTTACATTTCGAGTGCCACTGCTGAGACCTGAGTTTTGCCAAGTGAAAAAGGAGGAGTAAGTCACTTCCAAGCTTTCGTTTTCAGCTTTAGCTGCAAATTTGGCAAAAATTGCAGATATGTTATATGTGGGTTACGACTTGAGCAAGTCTTTCTCCACAACTATGAAGCTGTAAGCTTGGTTTTAGTTAAGATGAACAGTGTGTTAAACATCAAGAGGGAAGTATCTCAAAGTAAGCCTAAAATTCTGAGAACTTGGAAGCGCTTGAAAGAAACACTTTTTTTTTTTTTTTTTTTTTAGCACACAATGTATATATTCCATGTTTAGGGATTTAAAATGGGAAAAACATTAAGTTGAAAACATTTTGATAGAACTTTTAAGCACTTTGTTTTCTGTCCAATGTTTATTCTTCTCCTTATATTTTTTCAATCTTCCTTCTGCATCTAATGAGCATGTAATGTAACCACCCTGTGGAGGAGAAAATTAAAGGCTGCAAATGCGCAGCTGAACTAAATAGGATAGCTGAGAGCTAAATATTATTGTAAGTAACATGGTAATTTTGAAATTGGGTGACCTATTTTGCCAACTACTTTATTTTTCTTTTAGAGGGTCTCTGTAACTTACCCAATGCTAGAAAAAAAAAAGTCACACTTTCTACCACACAACACTTGTGTAACTATAAGATTGGGAAGCTTAATTAAAACTTTTCTATCATTTACAGAAGCATAGTGAGGGATTGTTGATTATGATTTGGCTAGTTTTATTTGCAAAATAAGTATTAAAAACCTTTTTTTTTCTATTTTAACTTCATTTGTTTGTTTTTTTTTCCTATTAAGTGACTTTATTTTCTAGTACCAATCTGGGTAATATTATTCTTTTTCCCTATGCATGGAAGAAGATGCTTGCTACTGAGTTTTGTCTTCCTTCTGTGTAATGTGATTTCTGTCAGAACTTAGGTTTTCAGACTTTGCTAGCTGATAGTTTAGTAGTGTTGAAGAGGCAATGTGGTTTTGGGGATGTTAAATAAAACAGTGCTTTGGATAGGCTATAGGCTGTTTTTCTTTTGAACTTGGCAGGCCAACTTTCTGCTGATAAATTCATGATTCAAAATAAATGATAAAAATCACTTCTGGAAGCCCTTTATTTTACTGAGTTTGAGTAAAGGTTCGTTTGTTCCAGTGAAAAATAAAACCTACTGACTGATGCAGGGAAAGGAGCATTTGTGGAATGGAATCGATTATACAAAGGCCCAGGATCATGTGGGCCGACTTCTACCTCGGTGACATTTCTGGGGATATCCCATGTTCCTGGAAGCCCAGAAGGACAGAAACGGGGTATTCAGGCTGTTTGAGTCTTGCTCTGAAGTTGTTTTTGAGCTGAAGAGGTAACTGAGTGCTAAAGTATTTCCCTGTTCTGATTTTGTTTGTAGGTATTGCCTGTTAAGAACTCTCAAACAGTGTCAGACACTGAGGGAAGCTCTAATTGCTGCAGGAAAAGAGATCGTCTGGCACGGGCGAGCAAAGGATGAGCCAGCTCATTACTGTAGCATTTGTGAGGTCAGTAAAAATCTGTAGTGGACTTTGTACTGATTTAAATTAAGCTTCATTTAAATGTTGGCCTATCTTTTGTTGCTGCTCTTGTTGCTATTTAAATTGTACTTCTGCTTTTAAGTTGTAGTATCTATTGCATGTTGGAAGCACATTATGTGCTGCAGTATTGCCTTGATAGAGCTTTTACAGCAGCCCCAAAAGGACAGAATCTAAGTACATTTGCTTCGCAGGACACAGACTTTTGATGAAAAAAATGATTCTACATCCTTTTAGTAGCAATTTCAAAGTACAGCATAACAGTTTTCACAAAGCTGAAAGGAAAGGAAATGCTCGCTCTGAAAATCAGTTTTCAGTGATGTTCTGAGTGAACACGCTGGGCAGGATGACTGTGTAAGCAAGCAGTGAGTAAATTATGACCTTATTTTACAGGTAGTTTTTAAAAAAAAAAAAAACAGATTTAGTAAGTATCCACCTTACTGAGTAACCACCATTATGAAACTTGCTTTTTAGTATTGACAGACGCTTTCCAGTAATGTTGTTTATGTAGATACCTGAGATGTAATGTTAGAAGTGCTTTTAGAATATTTCACCTCAGTGTCTGAGCCTTAGGAGGATGGAATTTACCCAAATAAACTTTACTTTTTTGTTTGCACATACCGAGTAAGGCTATAAGCATCAAACCATGTATTTAGAAAAAGCTTTTCAAGATGAGATTTTAACAGTTTGCTTTCTGTTTCCTGTCTTATAGGTGGAAGTCTTTGATCTGCTTTTTGTCACAAGTGAGAGCAATTCTCGAAAGACCTATGTTGTACATTGCCAAGACTGTGCACGAAAGATAAACACGAACCTGGAAAATTTTGTGGTGCTAGAACAGTACAAAATGGAGGACTTGATGCAAGTCTATGATCAATTTACATTAGTAAGTCAAATTAATAAATGGGTGCATAAATACATTATTTGCAAAGCAGTCGTAGGCGGTCTTGGTACTCCGTTGTACGAGTACCGTGGACTTTCTGATTCAAGTGGAGGTATGGGTTGTGTGTGATATTTGGAGAACAAAACACTGAAGATTCAGAATGATGTGAAATAGTACAGTAACTTACTGCAGAGCATAACCACTGAGTTTTCAGGAAAAGTTTGATGTTACAATTCATAAAGTTGTGGCTTTAAAAATCCAATAGAGATCACCTGAAGACCATAACTGGATCAGATGGAGATGGGAAGAATCAGGACAGTGAAGCTTGGCGAAACTAGCACCAGGTTCAAGAGCATCTCTAATACATTGGTTGTGGTATGAAGTCAGTATAGCAGCAGAGCATCCTATGCACTCAGACCCCCGCTTTCCCTCCCCTCCCCATCCCTTCCCAAATCAGCACTGTCCCTCTGCTTAGCAAGTGGATGCTCTCAAACAGTTCTGTCTTTGGCTTGGGGCCTCCTTTGCATTTCAATTTAAAGCAAAAGCCTCTTTGCCATTATAGCTTTGTGCTATATATGGCAGCCTCCTGCTTTGAACTGTGTAAGCACAACTGTCCTAATGTTTCACCCAGGTTTCATTGTTTCAGGCAAAGATGGCTTGTTTTGTAATCACAGTGAGAGTGATGCTGGAGTTATTTACGAAAAGCCTTGCTTTTCCATCAAAGGAAGCGATCACTGGACAAAGTATTACAAGAATTTCATGTTGAATTAAATGCAGCAGCCCCGAAACGGCTGTGTCTTTTGATTCATTTCCAGGTGCTGCAGAAAATGTATGTTTGGACAATAATTTCATGTAATACTGGAGTGCTAAGTTGTGAGCTTTGAGCTAATGCCTCAAGGTCCAGCAGCAGAGGATGGCACTGCAGGGCAGTGTCCTCTGAATTTGATTCTCTTCATTGGTTCTACAGAGCCCCGAGGTGGTAGAACTTCAATTCTTGCTTTCAGAAGCCCATTTTCATTACAGGCTGTGAAATACAGCAATTTCAAAGTGATGATCTGTTGTAGAAAAGCATATAAGTAAAGACCTGTTCTCACACAGGACTGCCAGTTAAGTGGAATGGGCAAGAAGGATTCTGCGTGTGGAAGGGGAGAGGGAGGAGAGATTTTGTTGTCTGTGTTTATGACGTTATATAGGTAACTGTGTCGATATAGCTGTGCCTAGAGCAGGGGTTCTCAACCTGTGAGCAGTTTCCTCTCTGAACAAATCCTGTACCTGTGGCCATCAAGAGCACTAAGAATTGTTTCATTTTGACATCAGTGCACATTATCACTCCTTTAAAGTGGGATACAGTCTTGATGGAGAAGAGTCGTAGCCTAGTGCTTAATAAATAAAATGGTATCTCTGAGGTCTAGGAGGAGAGAAGAGCTGAGATTTGTGGCAAGTCACAGAAGAAAGATGATCTCAGAGAGAGGGAGAGGGGTCCTGTGTTTGGGGGTAGGGTGCTGGCAGCAAGCATGGGCACCAGCTAGTCTTAGTGTTCCACAGTGACTATCCTGGGTGTGATTTAACAGGTCTTTAAAAACTGTGAATAGCTTTTCGTAAGGGCTCTACATCACAACTCTCGGTATTGATGGGCAGGAAAGGAGAAGAAGAGGGAAATGCCATTAAAGATTCAGTATTTTGCTGGTGATGCCACGAAGCGCACTATAAAGTGCATTACTAGGAAATGGCCACGTATCTCCTAGACCTTCTGCTGAAGCAGGCAGGAGTGAGAGAGACCTGGCTTCCTTCACCCTTGAGAAGCCCTGGGGGGGCTGTTCTCCAGGTTACAAAAGGGTTTGTCCCCAAATCAGGGAACCTTTTTCCACCACTGTCCGAACCCTGTGGTTGCATGTTGGTCTTCTGGTAGGGAAAAAAAAAGTGCCGCCCATCAGGCATTTGGAGAGACATACGGAATCCCCCACTGGTAAACAGGTTGAGAATCCCTGTTTTAGAGCATATAAGATACATCTACACAAGCCCACACAGAGCTTTTTGCTGCTCTAGAAAGATTTATTTTGGTAACTCACACAATATTAACCCAGATATCCATACATTATATTCCAGTCTTCAGTACAGGCAAAAGCCTAATGTAAAGTAGACATAAAATACACATTGTATTTGAACAGGTTGGGAAAAATGCCAATGTCCACTTGAAAAAGTCCTGAAGTAGAAAAGCAGTAGTGTTTATGACTTTAAACTCTCATATTTACTGTCTGTGCAGAACTTGGTTAGACAACTGAGTTTTACACCCTTGTAGAAAAGGTAATTTAATGTTTTCTTTTTCAGGCTCCTCCATTGCCATCCTCCTCATCTTGACATTTTTTCATGGACATTAAATGAAAACTTTTCTGATATTCAGGAAGTGACCCAGTTCTGCACCACTGATTTTTGTAGCTATCCCGTAAGGCTGCTGGCTGAAAGCTGTGTCTATGCAACCTTCCAAGTGCGGAGTGTCAACCAACTGGACAGGAGAGAGCACTGCCTCCTACTCCAGAACTCAAAACAAATAAAGCTCATCCAGCTGTACTTCAAAAAAATAATTCCATGTTTTGTATATATCTGACAAAACTGGCAACGTTATACAGACTACTGACTTGAAGACCACCTCTTTTGTATTTCTCTGTTTCTGGGCTGATGAGTTGGTTTCATCCATTTTTCCCCATCAGAATTTCCCTTGGAAAAAGTACTAGCTTAGCTGGTCATTTCTTTGTAAGGTAGATAGAAATTTTAAGTCTTTCTTTGGGCAACTTTTTTTTTCTTTTTTTTTTTAATGTGAAGAGTTAGGTGATATAAATTTTTTTACTGCTTTTATGTTTTTCTGTCTTGTTTTGAAACCATGACGGTTACACTTTTGGTTCCTAAATAAAATTTAAAACAATTAACAGCCAAGTCACAAAGATAAATGGGTTGCACATAGACTAAGGAATAAACTTCAGATTTGTGATTTTTGTTTCTAATCTTGATGTAAATTTACACTATTTATAAATACATATTTATTGCTTGAAAATATTTGTGAATGGAATGCTGTTATTTTTTCCAGATTACCTGCCATTGAAATTTTAAGGAGTTCTGTAATTTCAAACACTACTCCTATTACATTTTCTATATGTAAATAAAACTGCTTAGCATTGTACAGAAACTTTTATTAAAATTGTTTAATGTTTAAAGTTTTTCTATTGTTTGAGTTTTAAAAAGATTTTATGTACAGTGCCCAGTTTTTGTTCTTTTTTGAATCTGATTATATATATTTTATATATACTCTTGTGTGTGTGTATATATAATATATATATAGAAATTTGAATATAAATATGTGTATAAAGATTTAGAGACTAAATTTTTCTCGTTTTAAGTTTTACATCTATGGTAGATTTGAGGTGTCTACTGTAAAGTATTGCTTACAAAAGTATGATTATTTTTAAAGAAATATATGGTATGTATCCTCAAGACACAAAATGACCTTCAGACTGGTTTATTGTTAAATTGCACTTTTTGCAATAACAGACCAATAAATAGTTTCTGCCAAATGTAGTAGTAGAAAATAAGTAATGGCTAGACTTTAAAGCTCTCAAGAAAATGCTGGGTTTGACAGGAAGTTTGGCACTAGTTTTAGAGAAGGAATGAAAAAGTTGAATTTGATTTTGGGTGGAGACGCTATCTAGAATTCAACCAAATTGCAATTTATATATATTATAATATGTTCTATTAACAATTTAAGCATTAAGACTGAGACATCTTGGTGTCATTGTTGACCCCAAAAAAGACGTTGTTTTGTGGTATTCTATTGTATTTTCACATATTTTGTAATACAGATTCACTGGTAAATTTTTGAAGCACTAGGTTTCTTTAGGACAACTTTATAATATATCATTGTAACAGTTTGCAGTTTTAATTATGGTATTTATTTTAATTTGCTCCTTTCTCATCAGCTCCTTGAAAATGCATTAAATCTAAATTTCAAAATTGATAGTTTTCTTATCTATCGGAGTTGACTGATGCATAAGGTCCTGCATCAAACAAGCAATTTCTCACCATTTTTCGTTAGTGGGATATGTTAGAGATTGCACTGTTATTTTTTTGTAACCCAAGTGAAGTGATAAAGGCACAAAGCTTGCTAGGAGTGTATTTTGAGCAAAAAGTAAGGATCGCCTCTTGCACTTGTGGCTCCAAACAGAAGGTGTTCCATGAAGAATCGGTACAGCTTGCCTAAGGCTGCTACAACAGTTTCACTGTAGTTAGGAATTACTTTCTTGCTAGTCCTTAAAACAGTTGGACAAAAGGGTAGAGAGATTAAACAAAACCATATGAGAGATGCTCTTGCCAGGAAAATTATAAACCAGCAGTTAAGAAGCCAGTATTTGCAATTCTGTAAAGACGCAGGTCTCAGCTCTTGGTAACAAACTACAAATCATATATATTTTTTTTTTTTTACTTATGTATTTTATGCAGTCGTAAATATTGTAATCTTGACAAACCATGCTGCAACTGAAAAGCTACTCCTTTCCAGTAGTCTTAAACCCAAATAAAAGCAAGATAACTTACCTCAACTAATGGTAAACAAACAGTCCTTATTTCTCAGTGATACAAAAAAATAATAATTTCTA